GATATGGGCTGTTTAGAGCTAGGCCTTGCTTAAGATAGCTATGCTCGCCAGCCTCAGAGTGGGGCTGGGGGCGCCCACATTGAATGGGACAATTGGACATTGCAGAGTGCAACGTTCTGAGACTGTTCTTAATTTCAAATCATGAAAAGAGCACGGACGTAGTACTGACTCATTACAGAAGCCTCAGCCACTTGGATAATTAACTTCTTCCATAAACATTGACTGCACCGGCCTTCTGCAGGTGTTGGGAACAGAAAGGACGCAGGGACCCCGAGCATCTAGAACACTGGGGCACGAGTTGCCGCTGACAGGAGCCCTGGGCGCTGGGGAACTCAGGGGCTATGAGAAGACGCCGACCTTCTCCCAGGTCAGGCATAGGTACTCATCAAGTACTGGGACTCAAAATCCAAATTTGCCTCAAAGACTCGATTCACTCAACCATCCCTCAGACTTTTACCAAGTGCCTTGTATAAGCAAGGCCTCATCCTAGACAGTCAGATTCAGGCCAGAGTCATGACAAAGTTGTTTTTATTTTAAAAAGTCACCATATAGTAAAAATGCTACAAAATCCAGAATAAATATCTTCAAGTTACAAAAGCAAAACAGAAGTCTTGAAAAAATGCTTACTGTAAAAAGACAACAGAGCACTGTAGACAAACAGACCAAAAAGATAAATGCATGCTTGTTTGCTTGCGGTGGGGGTGGGGAAGCTCAAGGAGGGACCAAAGGTCACTTGATGTGCCTTTCACCCAGTGCTCTGTCCAGTGATCACAGTGCTACCTCAGGTTTCTGTTCCCCTTCTGAGCCTCTGTTAACTACAAAGATGGGGTGCCCAACCTTGTGCAGTAAAAAGAGGCTTGGCTTTAGAGCCAAATCTGGGTTTATACCCTGGTACCACCTCACTTCCTCGTGGTGCAAACTTGGGGGCACTTACCACCCCCATTTCTGGTTACCAGTTTCTTCCTGAAGTGGGGATGGCAATGTATATACTACGCAGGGTAGGTGCAAGGAGGCCTGGGCAAGAGGGTGGCCGGCCCACGTGGCCCTCCACTGCAAACCGAAGTCAGCCCTGGGATGATGCCCTGCTGCAGGCTGATGCTGGATGAACCTCAAAGCCTGGACCAGAGCAAGGTGAGGGCAGCTGGGAGAAACAAAGGCACAGCCCTGTGATCACCTGGGACACGTCTGGGTGGATCTGTCAT